TATATATATATATATAATCTTTGGATGTTTATCTGGATGGGTAAGCACAAGATTCAAATCACAGGCTTAGCCATCTTATATTTAAGGGAGAATTAAAAATATCCCAATGTTCTAAATCCGAACCAATTTATTTTATGAATATAACACTTATGTACTCAACTGTTTTAAGCAATGGCATTTCATTTCCTGTGTGTTTGTTGTTCTCTGTATATCTGACCCTGAAATCTTAGTATCATGGATTCTAACTATATTGGATACAGTCACAGAAATACAGCTACTTGATACTACTTAGTTGAGAAATCTGAAATAGTCAAGTGCATAGCAGCAGAAAGTAGAAAGAGGGTTGCTAGAGGTGAGAGGAAGGAAAATGGAGAGTTTATGGTCAGTATGAAAGACCAATATGTACCTCAAAATGAGAAATATAAGTATAGTCTTAAATATAATGTGTTATATAAACTATAAATATTGTACAATAAGCTACTTGAAGTAGGAATCTGATGTCAAGTTCTAGTACCATCTCGTGAAATAAGTGAATATGATAATCTCTTGTTCTGTGCTGCATTTATTATATATATGTGTATGTCTGTGTATGTACAGATAGATAACTCTTTGGCTATATGATAATTTTTCATATTGGTTTTCTTGTATAGGTGATTCAGTATTTGCATGTGTGTTGTCTCATAACTTATAATGAAACAGTCTTAGTAAGTCATATTGCTGAGAAATGCTTGCTTTTTCTGTAACACACTAATATTTCTGCTTTTTAATTCAGAAATGTCTATATTATTGGTATACTCTATTTTCTTTTTCTCTTTAATCTGTATGTATAGTGTTTTTACTAATTACCTCTTTGTTCTTGTTCTAATACTGATCTTTTCAATTACATTCCAGTAATTAAGAGTTTGTTTTGCATGTGTGCTGAAAATTCACTATCAAATTAAAGATTGTATTGAGATTAAATTTCTTTTGGACAAATGCATGAAATATGGTAATGATGGAAATATTTTAGTATTTACTCTTTGCCAGACTCCCTGATAAGCAGATTAATTCATTTTATACTCGCAACAATATGATGAAAATTGTTTTATCATTATCATTACTTTAAATAATAGGTAATGGAGGTGTACACAAAGTCAAGTAATTGATGAAGCCAGGATTTAAATTCGAGCAGTCAGATATTTAACACTATCATGTAATACCTGTTAACTATAAAACTATTTAAGGTGATCAACTGGTAAGTCAATCAAGTAGCTTCTGTAGTCGATGTTTTTGGGCCTCCAAACCCACCTCTGATTTCAACTGCAGAGCTAATGGGCAATTGCTTCAGGGATCAGAATCAGTCTTACAGCATCCCTGCCACCTTAAAGCCATCTCTAAGGGCAGTCACAACTAGCTGTAAGGACCCAGTCTTCTGTTATTCATATTCTAGTGGACAATTCTACATGGAAATAGAAGTTCCAATGGAATTAAGTCTTCAATGATTACAGTAGATTCTCTTCAATCCTTATTCTTGAGATCATTTTCTGATAAATGATTTCCACTCAGTTCCTTGCCTCAAGTTTTTCTGTTGGGACAATCTTAAATAAGATGCTCTCCTTTAACTGTATTGAAGCAAATAATTACCAACTATTACAAGAGGATTTATTTCTTGACATTTAAATCCACTTGCTTTCATAGTAGAGACATCAGTATTTCAAATTATTTTAGTGCCCTATAGAGAAGTTTATATGTTTGAATAATGTGGAATATTAAGGTTAGAATAGTTAAAGGACAGATTTAATGTTGGAAATAGAAGAGCAATTATGAAAGACTATGTGCAAAATAAGATAATTTAAAATTTCAATCACAGGCATGTTTTTAGACAGAAGAGTTTTAAGAAAAATGTACCATATAGGTTGAGATTTTGGAAATTGAAGCCATCCATACTTGTGTACTTTTTCCAGAGTCTTGAGATACCAACAGAGGTATATGAAAGTCACTTTAAGGGTTGTTTCTCTAGAATACTCTGGACAAATACACAACTCAAACTAAAATCAAAACCCAAACCAAACCAGAACCAAGATCAAACATAACCAGATGTATAATATTTGGGCTGTAAATGTAGAAATAATATACTATGTTTCAAAGGAAGTTGAAATGGAGGTGTATTTTAAAAGGGATTTGCCAAAAGAAATAGGTGATCTTGTGAGATTTCTTTTGATACTGTTAAAGAAATAACAGAATTCATCATCATTGTTCATATTCAATTAAAATTTATTGAATGCTTTCTACATGTTAGAGGTTGTTTTAGAAACTTGTACATTGATTATCTCATTAAAATTTTTATGTTAATTATTCTATGAGATAGGAATTACCATTCTAATTTTATAGTTGGTATTAAGTTACATGGCAAATTCAATAATTGATTTAAGGAAGGATTGAATTTCTATCAAAATTTCTAACTCAAAGTCCCATATCTTTTCAAAGATATCACAATAAGATTGCAAAGACAATCTAGCTAAACATTAGATAGAAATACAAGGCATTTCACACATATCTAGTATTGTGATGACTAAAGCTTTTCCTAGTACTCTTTCTCCCAAAGCATAGTCCCAGGCATAATTAAATATTTTTTGTTTGTGTTCCCATGACAAATTATACATGTTGCTTAGAATACTTACTACATTTTGTAGTAATTATATTTTAAAAGAATTTTTAATTTATTTTTATTATTTTTTAAAATTTGCTATAGGGCACATGGGCTCACCAGAGAGTCAGAGAGAGAGAGAGAGAGAGAGAGAGAGAGAGAGAGAAGACAAGCTGCCAAGTCCAGGACTTGAACCACGGTCTGTCATGTGGGACTTCAACACCTTAACCACAATGCCACCTACTAGTCCTGGTAATTATTTCATTACCTGCCTTCTTCCCCAACAAGATCATTATTTAAGGGAAAAGATAGTGTCTGAATTATCTTCATAATTGTCTTCATAGTCCACAGTCAAGCTCAGTGTCTAACATAGAGGAGTCATTACATGAGTATTTATTGAATAGATAATTGTAAAAAGGTGAAAGTAAGACTTGTTATTTCACCCATATCACACCAAACTAGATTATTCCACACTCCTTCTGGACTGTCTGCCAAAGACTTTTAAAGAAATCTTAAGCTTTTCCTGAACTTTCCACAGACCACTTTTCATCTCCTTATTTCTGAGACTGTAAATCAGGGGATTGAAGAGTGGAGTCACCATTGCATAGAACAAAGTCATGATCTTTGACATTAAGGTAGAGTGGCTGAATCCAGGGCTCACATCCATCACCATAATAGTACCATAGAACAACAGAACCACGACCAAATGGGACCCACAGGTAGAAAAGGCCTTATGCCGACTGGATGCCAAGGGCAACTGAAGAACAGCAAGTAGAACCAGGGCATAGGAAATGACGATGAAAAGGAAGCTAAGGAGGATGATGAGGGAGCTCAGTGTATAGCTAATGAGCTTTGACATAGGAGCAGGAGTACATGAAAGGGTCAGCAATGGGCCTGAGTCACATACAAAGTGATCAATCACATTAGGACCACAAAAAGGCAAATGAGAGATGAGAATAACAGGCACTAGGTACCAGAGAAAACCACACACCCAACAGGAAATCACAAGGTGGATACAACGTTGTCCAGTCATAATTGTGGCATAATGCAGAGGACGACAGATAGCAAAGTATCGGTCAAAGGCCATTACTGAGAGAAAGAAGCACTCAGTGGAGCCCATAGAAAAGAAAAAATACAACTGGAGAAAGCAACCAGTGAATGAGATGGCTTTGGTATCTGAGAGGAAGTTGACCAGTGTGTTTGGGACAGTGGCGTTGACATACCAGATCTCCAAGAATGCAAAATTCCCCAGCAGGATGTACATGGGGGTATGGAGATGCTGGTTCCAACACACAGCACAGATAATAGCTATGTTTCCCATGAGAGTCAGGAGGTAGACGATGGAGAAGAACATAAACAGGATGACTTGAATTTCCTTACTGCAGGGAAACCCCAGAAGGATGAATTCATTCACTGACTTAGAGTAGGATCCTAATCCAGAGAAGTTCATTTCATCTGTAAATTGCACTGCAAAGAAACATTATAGTCATGAGATCAAATTCAAACAATTGAGTGTAACATACAGGGAACTTTCATGATCTGACCTTTAGTTCTTTAACCTCATTTCTCTCTTTGTGTCCCCTTGAATCTCCTGCCACTATAGCAAAGTAATAGTTGCATTTCTGTGTATATGTATGTTTTGTGTATGCATGTGTTTTTTTTTTTTTTTCAACAAAACCTCTTTATGTTGTGATCTTCCTGCCTCAGCTATCTGAAAAGCTGGGACTATGATCATGTGCTATGTCACCGAGCATTCTCGGGTGGTCTGGAAATTGAGCCCAAGCTTTCCATAGTAGCCCCTGCCAGCCGAGCAGAAGAATTCAGTTTGCAGTAAAACAACTGGGCCAATATCTGTACTTCTACCAAATGACACGATCTTCTCTGTACCAAAGACATCTATCTGTTGCTTCTTTCTTTCTTTCCTTCTTTCTGTTCATCTCTTTGATAACCTTTGCTTTTATTTCTCCCTCTTTTTTACTTTTTTGTTTACTTATCCTTTTTTCTTTAGGCCATAAAACTTATACTTGAAATCTACACATTTTATCAATTGCCTCCTTAATGAAGTATTACTGGATTTCAGTCATGTGCTAATTCTTTGTTCTGCCATAACCTGCTATGTAAGTGTGTGTAAACTATTATACTATACCTTGTCATGACTGGTCACTTTTCTCTACATATACCAGTCTATGAGCTTTGCAAAGGGAGAGGTTGCATTTTTCATCTTTCTGTTCTCAGTGCCTTATACAACACAGGCCACTTCATAGGCATACTGACATATTTGCTGAAATGACACTAAGAAAAGAATCATTATATTAAGCTAGAAGAAATGAGAAGTAACATTATAAAAAGTACAGGATTTTTCTATACCAAATAATCTACATGTCTATACTTTACATCCTGGGTATTTCTTTTCCTGTCTTCATTCATGTATGACTCTAAATCTCCGAGAATAAGGGCAAAATATTAATCATCGTTGACTCTTTTTTCAGAATCTAATGCCTTATGTTTTCATCATGGTTGATATCATAGTAGGTATATGACATGGTCTCTGAATACCTGGGAGCAATACCTGGGATGAGAACCGTACACCAACATCACTGCATCTTTCTCCTCGGGCTCACATGAAAAGGTGTGGATTTTCAGGATCGTCACTGACAAACAAGTCCCTCTTTGTACCCTTAAGCTTGCAGCCTTGCAGTCACTGCCAAGAATCTTATCAGGGGGATTGTCTGAAAGATTATGTAGGGAGTAATCTCCAGTTTTCAATTTGGAAGAAAAAAATTCAAATGCTACCCAAATAAAAACACTAATCTGAATGAAATATGTACTGAAGAGGACTCTATTCTCTATCTACCCTTGGTTAATATATCTAAATATTTTTCCCCTTGTGTTTAAAAAAAAAAAAGATGACTCTTTGTCTCAGGAGTCCTATGGGCAGGCTAGTCTCTCAGGTCTGCCTCTGTGTATATCTTCTTTAAGTAAATGCCCTGGGACAAGGAACTGAAAAAGAAAAAAAAAAAAAAAAAAAAAAGAAGAAAGAAATAGAATAAAATAAGTGTGTGAAATAAAGATGTGTCTCTGACTTCTGAACTCAGTGCTAATCATCATTTGTCCTTTATCCTTTTTTTTCCGTTTATTTGATATGTTCAGTCAGTATAAATCACTTAGCTTATAAAGTGAATTTGCCCAGCATGGATATACCTCACACCAGTCTAATTGAGGAGACTATACATGTTATCACCGACAGACAACCACCCATTTCTGGGTCCCATAACTGTCTTGCCTCTCTAGTTTTCTCTTTAATTTCTTTCCTCACATTCTCCCAAAGAGAAAGTGAAAACAAAACAAAACAAAACAAAACAAAACACTTCCGATCTCTCCCCCCCAAAAAACCCCAAACACAATGTATTTCCCTCTAGTGAGGAAGAAAGCACAAGTAACCTAAAATACATAGGACCTTTGTTAATAGTGCATGAGATAAATATCATTATGGTATATTTTTGGTTTTATTAGAATCAATTATTAGTTAACTTATTATTATCTCTGTATTCTCAAAGCATGGTGATTTCTCTAAAATCTGAATATTCAATATTATATCTCTTGAAAATATTCCCAACACTCTTCTAAGCTTGCGTGTATGTGTGTGTGTGTGTGTGTGTGTGTGTGTGCATAGAAAATTTTCCATATTTGGATGCGTAGGAGTCCAGATAATCACATTTCAAAATTACCTCCTTTGGTCACCCTCTCATCCGTAGTTATACCATACCCCAGTATATTCTGAACTGTGTTTTCCTTTAAGAAACAGGATGCATATCTGTGGATGAGTTAACTGCCCCTCCACTCCAAGAAGTAGCCTGAATCCGTCCAATTCAAGATTCAAGATGGCTGTCATAGTCTCCTCTGGAAGACCCCAAACACTAAGTGGCACATTTATCAGCACCATGACAGTTTACAATGTACTGGACAATCACTGGAAAACTCTTCAAAGGAGGGAAAAGAGATAGATTTGGGATTCCAAGAAATTGTCACATTTTTCTAGGAAAAGCTTTGAATATTCCTCCCCTCTTAATCTATCCCTTCCCCTCAAACCCCATTTACTATATTTTAAACTCACTAGTTTAAGACAAGTTTGAGGTTAATTTTCAAGCTTGTCTTTTACTTCTCTATTCTTTGGCCATTGAATAAGACTTACATCATTGATACTCAGTTTCAGTTTTGTAAGTTGGTTTTGTGACACTGAATAACAAAAGATCACATTTTGGGAATAAATTAAAAATTGGTAACAGATTTTCTGATACTCCAAATGGGACTGGTGGATTGATCACCCATCTGTCTGTTCAGAGTCATTCCCATCAGCCAGCCCCTTTTAAGGGCTGCTCAATCAGAAAATAAATCTGAGTTGTCTATAACTGCCAAGCAATAGGAGGAAAAGGGTACACTAAGGTGTGGGTGGGTGCTGAAGGAAGGCCCCTGGACTAAGTAAATTGAGAGGTGTCTGTCTGAAACTAGAGCTGTGTTGTGGATGCTTGATACTAGGCTATTGCTATTGTTCAGCCTGAATAAGGGACAATCTTCAAGGTTTGCAGAAGTGTGAGAGAAACCACACTTGCAACTGGTAACTGCAATATTATAGTAATCTGATAAGGCCTTTGGTATTGTTTTCTCTGTTCATTTTGTCCAAACCCATATATGTCTCCATAACATTCATCCTTCCCTAAATACCTGCCCTTGAAGTAGAACTTGTGCATGTCTCCCCAGTCGGTATCTTTCCC